ATCGAGGTCGCGCCCAAGAGCGAGGTCAAGCCCAAGAAGGGTCCACTCGACAGCTTCGCTGGCTCTGGCATGCCCGATACCAAGATGTCCCTCAACGATCTGCTGGCCTCCCAAGTCAAGCCAGCTGCGAGGAAGTCCCTCTTCACGTCGCGAGTCGGTCCCAGCCCGACATTTCGTTATCCACCTGGATCGCCGGGACCGCCACCTCCGCCGGCGGACGTCGGTCAACATACGTTCATCCAGCGCTCGGCCGAGCACCCGACGCTGCCGATGTGGAACGGCAGTGTCGATCGCGCGGATCGCATTGCGCACTGGGAAGCGTACTCGAACTACGTGTCGCGCTGCGAGGCCGCTTCGACGCCGTACAACCAAGCAGTGCCGGAGAAGATCGGTATGACGGTGCTGCCCAAGCACCACGTCCTCATCACGGCCTACGGCATTGGCATCAGCGTGGACCACCTCTCGCACGAGGCGGTCGAGTACTACTTCAAGAACGCATACGACACGCGGCCCAAGCCGCGATGCCACATGCCGACGTTGATCGCGGACAACGTCATCATGCCGACTGACTCCAACGACGCTGAAAACCTGGTGATGGTGTGGAAGGCCCAGTACTACGCGCTCCTCCAGAAGTACAACTACCACGACTACAACGACTTGCAGCCCAAGCAGGCGATCAAGGCCCTCGTGGAGACGATCCGTCCTACTCAAGTCCAGACGGTCATCCGCAACGACCTCGATGGCGAGTGGCGTGGTATACTCGGGAACGTACAAGACTTCTTCAAGCTCGTGGAGCTCCGCATGGAGGCATACTACGCGTTCGTTCCGGACAACGTCAGCAAGCCGCAGGACAGACGCGCGCCAGCCCACTCACGGCAGAACGCGTTCAAGGCGGCCGAGCCTCTACCGCCACGAGCACCCGACACGCGTGGTGACGGCAAGGGCCCCACGACCAACGCAAAAGGCGAGCCCTACAAGTGCTTCAACACCAAGTGCAAGGGTAAACATCTGACGTACCATTGTCCGAAGACGACATACGCCGAGTACCAAACGCTGTTGAAGGCGTACCGGGACGCGAGGAGCAAGGCGCGTCAGCACCAGCTCGTTATCACGACGATCGACGAAGCGACACCCGAGCCCGCTCAAGATGCAGGCACGACCAAGCCGTCGGACGAGCCGACCAAGAAGGCGAAGAAGGTCAAGCAGCAAAAACTCAAGGCCGAGTCCGAGACGGTGCAGATGCTCCGCTCGTTGCGCGTGGTGCCCGAACAAGACAGTGGCACGACAAAGGCGGTTGTACACGGCGTGATCACGGTACCGGATGCGCTCTGGGACACGGGTGCGGATACGGCCGTGGTCACACGTGGTCTCTTGGAAGCGCTCAAGGCTCAGGGCAAGCCCGCGGCGGAAGCGAGGTTGAGCCGAGCTGTCAACTTTACCCAGTTCGACGGCTCCACGATCAAGTGCGAACGGACAGCGACGCTGGCAGAAGTGTCGTTTGCAACGTCCGAAGGCAGCGTCCTCGCGCGCAATGGTGTTTTCCACGTGCTTGACTCGTCGAAGATCGGTCTCACGCTTTCGCGTCCTATGATGAACCACATGGGTTACGGCACGGACACTTTCCTCACACGGTCTCGTGCGCTACGCACCGAGTGGGACCTCGGGGCAGTGCAATCCAAGGGCTTTGGCCAGCAGATCCTCACGCTGGTCGAAGGCGACGACGACATGGAGTCGGATGATGAGGTCGACCCTGACCCCGACGCCATGCCACATGATGTCGAGATGAAGAAGATCCAGGACATCCTCGCGACCCAGGTGGCAGCCAACCCAATGCTCAACGCTGCGCAACGCAAGGAGCTCCAGGCGATCGTCGACTCCTTCCTCGATGTGTTCCGTCTACAACTCCGTGGCGACGATCCTCACGTCAAGGTCGCGCCTCTGGAAGTGGAGCTCACGCCAGACGCGACGCCCTTTTTCTGCCAATCCCGACGGTACCCTCCGACACACGTGGAGTACTTGCGCAAGCATCTACGTCAGCTCATCGCGGCCAAGCGTGCCGTACGTGTCGGAGCGTCGCGATACGCTTCGCCTGCCTACTGCGTACCCAAAGGCACGTCGCTCCGCATGACGCTGGACTGCCGCCGGCAAAATCAGCAGACGGTTCCCAAGACCTTCCCGATGCCCGATCTCGAGGGTATCCTGCTGCGGCTGCAAGGCGCCAAGATCTTTGTCAAACTCGACGCGTACAAGTTCTTTTGGCAACTCGCTCTCGCGCTCAAGTCCCAAGAATACTTCACGTTCATGACGCCCGATGGTCTGTTCCAACCGACCAGTGTTCCCATGGGTTGCGTTGACGCGGTGGCTTACGCTCAGAGTACCATGCACGAAGTCTTTGGTGCTGACCTCATGGCTACCAACATCATGGCCTGGGTTGATGACATCATCATCTACGCCAAGTCGGTCGACGACATGATGGACATCCTTCGGCGCGTCCTCCAACGCTGCCTGGACTATGGTCTCAAGCTGCACCCCGAGAAGTGTGACTTTTTCTCCTCTGAGGTCACGTGGTGCGGACGCGTCTTCTCTGAGGCTGGTATCTCGCATGACCCGGCCCGCATCCAAGGCATTGTCGACATGTCGCCGCCCCAGACTGGCGCCGAGCTGCAACAACTTTTGGGTGCCACGGGCTGGATGCGCGCGAGCATTCCGCGCTTCTCCAGTTTGACGGCTCCTCTCGTCGACTGCCTCGAGTTGGCGTGCAAGCAGGCTGGCTCGCGCCAAAGCATCAAGTTGAAAACGGTCCCTTTATCTGAATGCGAATGGGGCCCGACCGAGATCTCGGCATTTGCGGCTCTGAAGCAGGCTCTTATCCACATGGTGCCTCTGGCGACACCGGATCCGGACAAGATCGTACTTGTCTCTACCGACGCTTCACAAACACACTGGTCGGTCATGGTCACCCAGATCCCCGCCGAGGACGTGGACAAGCCCATTGCGGAGCAACGGCACGAGCTGCTGGCCTGCATCAGCGGCGCCTTCAAGGGCTCGAGTGCCAACTGGTCTGTGGTCGAGAAGGAAGCTTACGCTCTCGTCATGGCTTGTCGCCGCCTGGACTATCTCCTCTTGCGCCCGGGTGGCTTCATTTTCCTCACGGACCACCGCAATTTGATCTACATCTTCAACCCGTCGGCTGTCACGACGGTGCAGAAATACCAAGCCGCGAAGCTGGCTCGCTGGGCGACGACGCTTCGCGCCTTCACCTACACTATCCACCATGTGTCCGGTGAAGACAACGTGTGGGCCGACATTTTGACTCGCTGGGGTGCTCCAACTGCTCTCTATGACGATCAACGACCTCTACACGTACTGGCCCTGTATCACGTGCCTGATCCTTTGGCTGCCGACGCCGTCGCGTGGCCATCGGGGGGCGAGATACGGTGCGCGCAGGACAGCGCACTGGCCAACGACCCCGAGCAAAAGACTCGTCTAAAGCTTGACGAAGCTCGTGGCGTCTATACAACTGATGGCCACCGCGTATGGCTGCCCCGAGACGCCAAGGATTTGCAACTACGCATCTGCGTCATTGGGCACATGGGCATCAGCGGTCACCGAGGCAAGGCGGCAACAGCAACATCCATCTCAACCGAGTACTGCTGGGATGGTATGGCCGCCGACATCGCGGACTTCGTCGGTGGTTGTCTACACTGCCTACGATCGGATGGCAGCACTGTACCGCGCCCGTACGGAGCAGCGCTACACTCGACGTCTCGCAACGAGGTCCTGCACTTCGACTTCATCTACATGGACCCCGGGTACCTACTGGTCTTGAAGGAAGATTGCACTGGCTACGCGCGGCTTGTGCCATGCGATGCCCCGACAGCGGACGCCGCGGCCTCGGGTTTGATTGGCTGGTTTGCCGAGTTTGGCCCTCCAAAGGTCCTCGTCAGCGACCGTGGCAGCCACTTCCGCAACCAAGTGGTCCAAGGTCTCACGAACCAGTACGCGCAGAAGCACCACTTTACTCTCGCGTATTGTCCATGGTCGAACGGGACGATCGAAGTCGTGAACCGGCTCCTAGTCCGGATTGCGCGTGCCCTGCTTTCCGAGATGAAGCTCCCGCCCAAGGAGTGGCGTGTTGTCTTGCCCCTTGTGCAGTCAGCACTCAACCACATGCCCTCCGATCGCTTGGCTGGCACGTCCCCCGCCAAGGCCTTTCTCAACCTCGAGGCGACGAAGCCGATCACGATCGTCGTGCATCCGACCACGAAGGAAGCGACTGACCTCAACACAGTCCTCAAGGCCAAACGACAACAACTAGCTGAGGCCGCCAAGATGTTCGAGTCCATGCACCGTGAGCTCGACAAGACGGCGCAGAAGCGGCGCGACGCAAGACGCAAACAACTCAACGACCGCACGCACGTCAAGAGCGCCAACTTCGAGATCGGCGATTACGTGTTGATCGGCAAGCGCGACTCAAGATTCGCCAAGAAGCTCAGCATCCGATGGGACGGACCCGCCAGGGTCATTGCAACGATCAACGACTGGATTTACGAAGTCCAAGACCTCCGTGACAACTCGATCACTCAGTGTCACATTACGCGCCTCAAGCACTACCGCGACGCCTCGCTCAAGGTCACGACGGACCTTGTCGACTCCATTGCCCACGCAGCCGGCGGACATTTCCTCGACCGCATTCTCGACATCAAGCAAGATCCAAAAAACAAGGCCTGGCAAGTCCACATCAAGTGGCTTGGGCTCGATGAAGAAGACAGCTAGTGGGAGCCACTCGCAACCATGCTGGAAGATATCCCGAAGGCGATTGCCGACTACGTGCGCACGATCAAGAGCAAGAGCTCCGCCAAGAAGATCGCACGGGTAATCGAATCCCTCAAGGTCTCCACAGACTAGTAGGGGTTCGCATGAGGGGAGTGTTCTGGATCCGTGCCCTTTCACGAAGAGCCTCCACCAAGAGGCGCGACCTTCCGTGGACCAATCCGAACCCGCGACTCTCTGAAGCGTCCTTTTCGATATTCGAACAAAGTCCCTAGCTCCGTAAGCTAACATGTCATTCACTTTCGCTTTTCACACCGACTGTCAACAAGCATCTCGCTCGACAAGTGAGAACAGTCGCATAAATAGACCTACGAGGTCGGGCGGCGGAGCGCAGG